CCCCAAAACCCCAAAACCCCAAAACCCCTTTAGCTCTAAATAATATTGAAGATATTGGTTTGAGCTTGATTACCAAATTATTTATTTAATTAATCTTTGTTTTCAGTTGGTCCAAAATTTGTCAATATATCTTCTACTGTTGCTAATTTTCAAACCTCTTAAAATTAACTTATTTGAGCCACTAAGAAAATCAGATCCAAGGATTTATCCAAAATCAGGTATCTCTGATGGAAAAACGCTCTAAATATTCAGCCAGAATTAGATAAAATTCTTGAGATCTAACGAGCAGGGAAAAAGGCTATTAAGCTTAGTAAATACTAATAGTTTAGCATAATCTAGCAAGATTCAACCAAATTGTTGTAGATAAACTTTTTTATTATCTCCACTAAAATAACTTCTTCAGAAACATGAAACGGGAAATAGATATAAATATAATCTAACTTTATAGCTGAAACTTCAGGATAATTATAAATGTAAAATTGTCTGGTTAATTTTAGCCAAAATACGATACAAAGAGAGCTTACATAAAAATATTAGATCCAATTTGATTGTATGAAAATTTAGCTTAGTTTGAGAATGATCTTTGAAGAAGGGGTTTAATATACCCAATAAAAATCATAAAGAATCCCGCTGATTTCCAACTTGACTATCTTCCAAGTACCTATTATTGAGTCTGAAATTATCCTTTTCGTGGATTATACTGAATGGTGACTTTACTTTTATTCGTAGTGAAAATTAAACAGCTGTCTTTCGAATATTTAAACCTCTAATGGATATTTTAAGGTCCTTCTTAGCTTTCAAAATTCCTTGAACTAATCTCTTATAAAAACTTAAACTTCACTTGATGCTTCTTTCATTCCACACTAACTCTGTCAAACTCTAATGACTGCAGCATTCTGTTCCTGTCGCTAAGCTGGTTAACACCTTTGAAATTGACTTCGTTCAAGGAGTCCTTGAAGACTGATTTGAGCAGTCCAGTAATGATGCTGCAGATGGCATCAGATTCCATGCCTGAAGGATGATTATTTCTGAGAAAGCACCTAACGAAGGTGAGGTGCTTGCGCTTGAAGCTTGATCGGGATGGAAGAAGTAGTTCTCCATTGGGGTTTTGGGTGTGAGACAACATTGCTTTGGGGTAGTTGATATCAAGGATTTCGCAGAGGGAGAATTCTATTAAAGGGATATGTCTTCCGAAAAAGATGATTTTTGGAACATCTTCTCTTTTGAATTTTAGGCGGGTAAACAAAACATTGCTTAGAGTAAAGCTTAGATTTTTGTATAGGATTGAGGAAGGAATTGTGGTAGATACCATTTGGTTTTTTCCATGAACTACCCATTCATCTAATCTCTTTGGAAATCATGACCGGATAAATTCTGAGATTTGGTTCGGGTTTGACTTTCCCTTATATCCAACGTACAACCTTTTCATTTTATTCACAGTAAATCTAATCTTATTATAACTTTTTAGCATATTCACCTGCTCCAGAGATTCATTAGAAATTCTCAAGCTTTGAATTCTTATCTGATTTATACGTATCTAGAGCACAAGTTAGATTTCAATTAGATGCTCTGCTTACTTTTAATCTACTCTCCTTCAGGATAGAAGAATTTAGAACACTGTAAAGTTTTAGCTCCTTTGCTCTAATGGTATGTTCATGCCCAACTGGAGAAGTGGGTTTGCCTTGGAATGCAGTATAAGCCATTTTGTATCTATGAGTTATTTTAATAAATATATCTTTCTATTATTATTCTTCTCCAGGGGTTTTGGGGTTTTGGGGTTTTGGGG